CCCAACCCCCCCTCCCGCATCACTGACCGTCCCCTCAGACTATGAGCTCCATGCCGGACCACTTAGTCCCGACCGACGCGTCCAAGTCGGCGTTCCTGGAGTTCGGCGGCCACGGCTACCCGGGACCTCAGCAGCCCTCCCCGGGCCTGAGYCACGGCCACTACCCGGTCCACGGCCTGCACTCAGTCGGGGCTCCGCAGCACGACGGGCCCTTCTCGGCCGGAGGATCCTCCTACGGCCGCTCTCTGGGGTACCCGGCCTACCACGCGCCTGTGAGCGCGCACCATCCMGGGACATACCTACCCTATCAGCACGGGGGCCTGGGACAGTCCAGACTGGAGGAGGCTGGTAGGTCTAATAATCTGATAATTATTAGAATAATCTGATAATTATTATAATAATCTGATAATTATTATTAATTAATAAGAAAGGGGAGTGCGGGAAAATAAACAGTCAAAAACCTGCGGAGAACAACCGGGTCTGATGAGGATCACCTCTGATGTTTAACAATCTGTTAAAAATTAATCCATATAAATAAAACTGTTTAATATTTGGGTAGATTATATAAAAAATAGTCAAATTAACAAATAAAAATAAACACTAATATATCAGTAATATTATCAAATGGCTCAAATTAAACGGATTTTCCAACTATTTGTTCATCTTTAATTATTATTAAATCACAGCAGAAATTAACTTGTATTTATTTAAAAACAAGGATGTTAAAAAAGGGGGCATTTTCTTTTTTTTTCATATTTTTTTTCAAACTCTGCTAAAATCTAAAGGCTTTTACTGAGTTTTTCTGAACAAAACCACCAGGCAACATGTTTTACTGGAGTGTGTGTCTCTTGGTGTCCCTCTGATGGACAGAGAAATGTCCAGGTGTCCCCACCTCTCACACAGTGACTGCAAACATGGACACCAGCCCCTGCAGTAAATTCATGTTAAAATATAAGAAAAATATGTTTTAAGTCATTTTTTCATTTTCTGAATTTTAGCTCAAATTGTTCATAGGTGAGAATTTCTTTCTAAAGATGATCAACCATAAAAACCTGTTAAATGTAAATGAATTATTTTGTGGGATGTTTTGTTGAAGGTCTCCGCAGACAAGCTGGTGTATGAATAAAACAACAATTGACATGATAGAATTTTTGAGGTTTGGACCCTTGAACGTCTGGAGAATAAGAGACGGAACCACAGCTCATCAGAATAATTGGATCCACTCTCGGGTCGGTCTGTTSAGCGTACCCGCAGAGAGTCTCCTCACTGGGCCTGTGGTGTCCCACTGTGGCCCACATGGCTGCTCTAAACCCAAACCATCATCATCCTCCTCCTCCTCATCCTCATGTCTCTGAATACATCATCTCTCCCTCTAAACACAACATTCAGCCAGAACCTTTTTACAATAAATCAACACGAGAAGGTATAATTTATTTGTTACATATTCTGTGTTTTACACTAAATAAAATCATCTAATTTAAATAAAAAATGTAACAAAGTTGTAAACACATACTGCAGGCTGCACCAAATGTTACCAGATGGTTTATTCTTTTTACTAAACTTTTATAATTGTTCTTTTTCTAAAATGCAAAACAATAAAAACATCAAACTGTCCAAATATGTTTTGTCTGTTAAAAGAGTTAATTATTTTTAATGTTTCTCAGAAGATTTTCTCCTCAAATATTTATTTAAAAGTACGTCTTTGTTCAGGTCTCATTATGTCACATTTACCATTTAGAAACTCATAAAAATAATTAAATCTGACTGAGACACGTATAGAAA